TAGATATAAAGATATATATATAGATATTAAATATTATCAAAACGTGTGGATGGTATTCTTTTCTTAATGTCATAAGTGTTTAATGTTAAAGTCTATAATGGCAGGGAAAAAAAAAAATAAAAAAAAGAAAAAAACTATTTTAAATGACTCAAAATGACGTTAGCACCTGTAATCGGAGGAAGTGAAAGGCAAGGATTTAGGAAACATTCGCTGTGTTCTGAAAAAAAAGAACAAATTATACAAAGGCTTCAAAAAAACTAAGTCAGGGCTTCTTCAAAATTGACTATGAGATTGCCTATGCAGTATTTCTAATTTCCTCTATAGAATGGCAAACCTCCTTAATTTAGAATGGGTGCGATTCACCACTGTAAGGCATGCATCGGAGCACAGGGGTGCAGCCCAGCCGCCCCCGGCACAGGCACACGCACGTCCACGCACACGCGGCTGCGCAGAGGAAGCGGGCGGCTCTAGCGAGGGTGGCACAGGCATTACAGCTATGGCTCTGCAGTGAACGGCTTCCAAACGCCTACGGACAAACTCAGCTAACGCCACACCGGGCTCTGACATGCAATGGTTTGGTTACTAGTTTTAGAAGGGCAAAAATGCGTAAATAATCAGAGTGCATTAAAAAAAACCAAAGGCTGCCTACTATAGGGAGCATCTCCCCGTGAGGGCAGGAGACTCGGACCCACCTCCCCCGGGCCTGGGAGCGTCACGCCACGATTGCCACACTTCTACTAAGCCAGAGATTTAGACTTGGTTTTACTTACCATTGGTCTCTCCTGGCTGCTTATCCCTTTTCCTCTTCTTCTTCTTTCCCTGCAGGCAACACAGACAGATGAGAAGGATTAAACCCCCCCCTCAAACACATGTCCTTGCAAGGCGCTGAGCAATGGGGCTGTGGCCGGTGCAGGAAGCTCCCTGAGGAGGACACTTGAAGTGCAGCACTGGAGCACCCTCGGTGCAGGGAGACTTGGGGGCCCCGAAGGGATGCTGCACTGTGGGGATGGCTCTGCCTGCCCAGCCCGTGATTTTTCGGACACCCTTGCTGAAGCCCCACCAGTGCCAACACCCACCAAAGCCGTAAGCAGCTGGGGAGGGGAAAGAACAACTTGCAAGATGCTTCCTTTGAGGTAAGATCACTATGAAAGCAAAAACGTTTGACATTTGTATACCCCTGCACCTGGAGGTCTCAAAAATCACTCATGGTCATGTTTTGGAGAGGCAGGAAGGGGAAGAGAAGGGAGACGGAAGCAGTAAGAGTGCATAACTGAGGTCACATTAAGCCTCTGGAGTTACTCGGCACCCAAACTCAACTTTTAAAGCAGATAAGGAAGCCACAGTAATGAGTAAATCCTAACCGGCAAGTTTGTAAGTGCAGTGACAACCTAAGAAGTCAGGACAAGAAAAAAATCCAGATATAAAACTAAGACCCTTCACACAATTCTGCTCTATCACAAGGAAAATAACCAACAGTTTTGCTAAACTGTGTCCCTTTCCCAAATAGTGCCCCACAAGATGACACAATTTGTTACAGTTTCTGACTGGAGGGAGAAAGGCCCCTTCCCCACTTCCCTCCAGCAGTGTGGGAGAGGACAACTAGGAGCTTGACTTCTGTGGAAACCCAATGATCATTTTCCAAGAGAAAAGTTATAAAGTATTAAGTATAGCTCAAAAGAGAAAAGCTATTTTCTAAGAAAACTCTTCTAACACTGAGCTACAGGGTTTGCAGAGCAGTTCAGAAAGGCCAATGTAGAGGACAGAGTAATTTCATTTTCACAGCTCCCCAGATGCTAAGAGCAACGTCTCTCAGGCCAGCAATGTCAGCTGTGAATAGTACAAGTGATCCCAGCTTTTGAAGATGCAGTTTTAAGAGAAGCTTGTGAAAAGACACCAGGCCAGCAGTCCGTTGTAGTCAAGAGGGAACAAACATGTCTCGGAAGAAGGAATTTCACAGCACTTTTGAAGGGTTGGACACCTGTGGTGAAGCCAAGAGGTTCTCCCACATGGTAGACATCTTTCTCAGTAGCTTGTCTAGGCCCTAGCTAAGCAGTTAACATGGGCTTTAGCTTGATATATCCACTACAACACTTGGGACACTCACTACGATACGTTCCCTGGAACACATCAGTAAGAAATTCCGCCAACGTGAACGTTGTATTTTGATTCGTTGTGGTCATATATTTTCCTCCCCAAAAGCTTGCTTTCTGGCACGGGGCTCCTCTACTCATCCCCCCTTGTTTGCTCAGGGTTAATGACTATCCTGCTGTCCAGGTGGTGACAAGCACAGCCTTGTTCACAAGAGCCTTCTGGTGATGAAAAAAGCTGTGTGCACCATCCATCTTGAAGGATTTTCAAACAACATGTACATAACCCTGTAGCCTGGATGCTCCTGAGAAATCATATCCAACACCTCTGAAGTAAAGTTTGGGGACATGGAAAATTGTCGTCATTGCTACAGCAGCTACACGACAGGCAGACAAGACAGACAAGCACTGCTCCGAAAGGTCCCCAAGAACAAAACAGGGTGAAACATGGGATCTTGAAGTCCATGTATCACATAAACATAGAAGAGGCTCAGACTCTGCTCCCTCTGCATTGGACAGACTAAACTGACAGTAACTCTGTGAAAGTCAGGGATTTTTTTTCCAGCTTTATGACAATGTAACAAAACTAGACAATTGCCTCAGGACCATAAGCCTGATTTTTATTTAACCTCACGGAGGCCACTTGCATAATTAACAGACTGTGTCTGTGGCAAATTTACTTAATTCTTGCGTTACATTTGGGAATTCGAGGGCTACCTCAGTTTGAGGCTTTGCAACTTCTACACACGAAGGCCTGCCAGGACAGATGTCGGGAGTCACTTGCCCTTTAGAAACTCCTCAAGCCAGGTAGTAAACTACTATAACCCCTTTACGGAGCAATGTGTTAAAAATGGCTGATCTACAGGAACATCAGCCAGGACGTTCAACACAAGCTGCAAAAATTGTTCCCAACAAAGAGCTGACAGGGGACCCACTAATTTCTTTTAGACTCTCCTCAAAGGAAATAGGGAGAACAATCACTTGGTTTGTTTGTTCAATTACTGTGCTACGAGAAGGTATTTGATTACATAGTTAAATTAATACACAGACTTAAGAAAAGAATTAGGGCAGCAGTTTTCTAGTGCTCTGCAGAAGGTATGGCTTTGCCTTCGCCTAAGATTGTCCTCCTAAGACTTGACCAGATGGTCTGTAACATTTTTCGTCACCATACTGTACAAATTCTTAGGCTGTAAGTAAATGTGCATGTAAATACTTGCTAATCATTTTGGGAGCTCCCTCTACAGAGCCAAACCAACACAGACTTTGACAGGACTGCAGAGTGAGTTCTTTGGTACTAATTTTCTAGACAGGCAGCAGGCGAGGGGACTAGATCCTTACATACTTCTGAGTCCAGCACTCCGCGTCGCTTAACTTCTTCTATTAGATCTCAGGAAGAGCAAATGTGCCTCGTGACACCAAGAGGCCACAAGGGATTCCCTGAGTCCTCTTGTTTAAGAGCAGGCTGAAAGCTGCATTTCTTGAATGTACTGCTTCTGAAGACCTGGGCTACAGCTGGCCTCATTCTCCAGCCTGATGGGAGGTGCCATTTCAATCAGCCCAAAGGCACTCCCCTGCTAGATGTGTGAAGGGCTCAAGATCCCACAAAACGCTGAGGGAGGATGGGAACTCTGAGAGGTCTGAATGGACCAAGAGAAGAGAAATAAATAAATCCTGCAGATGATGCAATCATGCTCTCCTCAGGCAGGAAGGTTCCCCCTGAAGGTCACTTGGGGGTACAGCATCAAGCCGCTGGGAGAGCGCCGGCTCTCTCATCCTGTCCTTTTTAGCTTGAGAAGAAAGGGTTTCTCAGTGCTCACACGGTGAGGACAAAAGTAAAAGGTCCTAAACACTGAAAGCTTTGTACATGCCCATCAGTCGGTGGCACAGTCGCTGTGCAGAATGAACATTGCTGAAACCTCAGTAGAGCCCATACTGCCTTTTGAACACCCAAGAAGATGATACTGCACAGTGCCGAGGAACTACCTCAAGTCTATGGTCTGACAGTTTCAGGCCAGACTATGCTGAAAAGGAAGGGAAAATGTGTTTAAGCAGGAGCAGTGGCTCACCAGGCTTAATGAGGGCTCCTCTGAGGAGCACGCAGAGCTACACCTGCAATGGCAAACAAAGGAGGGAGACAGGCACAGCCCAATGGGAAGAGAAGATGATCACGAAAGAACAGAAGGATTTTAAAAAGCGTCCTTAAGTACATACTGCTAAATAAGTGAGCATGTGTGTTTTCCACCGCTGAAACAGTGGAAGAGCACAGAGAGCTGCTGCTGCTCTAGGATCTGCTGCAGACTCTGAACTGGCTTCTTCCTGTCCACATATGTAAAAGTGCATGTTCTCGGGGAGGTAAATGTTGCCATACATAAACCACACAGTTTATGTGACTTACAGAAAAATGGGATATTTACGGTAAAATTGGCAGTGATGATGACGATGGTGGAAGAGACAGACTTCAACAAAACCAAAGTGTGTAACACTATACAAAACTGACATCAGCCTCCCAGCTGCTGGTCCCCAGACCTGCAAGGAAGTGTGCCTGGAAGGCAGGGAGCACGATTTATTCCACAGTTAGAGCTCTTGAAAGTTTTCTGTGATTTTTATTTAAATTTGGAAAAAGATAAAAAAATCAGGATGCTGCTACAGTTCTACTAAAAAGGGTTTTGAGCTCCCATCAAATGCACAAATCTGTTGAGAATTTATGGATTTAGGCTTACAAACACATAGTACCAGATGCACCACTTACTCTTCATGGAAGAAGTGCTTATATACTACTAGTAAGCGGTTACAACATTTGCCTTATGCTTTCAACCAACAAAATTCTACTATTTTTAGCTAAAAAACAGGCTTTCTGAAAGGCGGAGGGGGAAATCAATCTTAAAAACAATCCATGAACTGATCACAAACTCCAAAACACTTTTTAAAAAATGAGAAGGGTGAAAAAAAAATTATCATGGCCATGAAAAAGCAAAACATAATCAAAATACACAAACAGTAGAGCGTGGAATAATTCATTTAACCCCACTTGAGAGTAAGACTTTCAAACAAGTCACGTTTTTGGTTTTGCCAGTCCTTCTCTGAAGCTAGGATAAGTCATTCTTCCACTTTCCACTATACTCTCACACAGATAAGCACAAGACACTAATTCTTCATCTTTTTGCTGGAAAGGAGAGGAGCCATACTAGGGGAATTTTAATTTTTGTTTTACAAAATTAAATTTAAAATGACCAGCAAGCCAAACAGCATTTCCAGACACTGGTAAAAGTGAAGCCGAGTTTCTTCACAGAGCTCTACTGTCATGCCCCAGTTCTAACCTTTTACTAGCCCCTGCCAGGAAGCCTCTTCCACATGGAGGGCTGGGAATTATCCCCAATATTTTTGCAGAAGGAAGAAGGAGAATATTTTTTGCAGAAGGGAAGCGCCCGTTGCTGTTACCAGATTGGGATCCTGAGGCACGCTTTCCAAGTAGTGCTTGTGTGCAATGTGTGGTCGTAGTTCAGCAAATAGACATTTCTACAAGCTCTACTACTAAAAAAATTTCCACCTACATAGGAACCTACATAGTTATCCCGTGCGGACCAGCCCGGGTACAGCTGCATGTGAAGCTGTCGTTCCTTTCTTGCTAGTTCATAGTATTTCGCTTGTTCTTCTCTGGATAGCGCATGCCACTGAGGTGAAGAAAAGAGAAAAAGGCACAATAAAAAGCACGAGTGGTTTGTTTTCTTGAAGTGTGTTAACAGCAGAGTGTATTATTTATATAGAAATACAGCTAGAGTTAATTTTCATACAAAAAGAGATAAAACCAGGTGATCCGGCATGCTGACATTCATATTTTATTTATAACTCTAGATTATAACTCCAGTTAAGTCAACTGAGTCACAATTTATCATTTATGTTCACTAAGCTCCTTTGTCTCCCAATGAGAATGAAGAAAACTAAAACAACAACAACAAAAAACCCAACAAACAAAAAGACTACCACAAAAACCACCAAAGAGGGCAGGAGAGGGTTCAGAAGGTGAACCACTTGTCCTGAGCCAGATCTCAGTCACAGGTTCAGAGGTCTCCCTCTTCGCCCTTCCTCACTCGCTACCCCTCTCCTCTTCTAGCTCTCACAGGTCCTGATAGTGCTACTGTACCTAAAGACTTTTTCCATCCCCATTTACTTTTCTGCCTGTTTTAGGACAAAATAAAAATCTGAGGGTTTTGTACCTACAGGTCATGGAAAAAAACATTGAACTAACAGTACTATTAATTAACTCCCCTTCCTTCCCACCAGTGACCCTACAGGCAAAAAAAGTATCTGTGGAAATCAAGACACAAAGACCAAACCAAGGCCTCTGGTTTAGTAACTTCCCTATCCATTATGAAAATATCATGAAATCACAGTGATTCAGAAGATGTGAAACCCAGCATGTCTCAGTCCCTGCTTGTGCTTCTCCCGTGTTACCTACCCTTCGACCGAGGATTTGGTTGATGGCTGCGCTCTCTTTCAATGTGCATTCTGCTACAACTTTTGCTCTCATTTCCTTCATATACAACATAAATGCATTAAGAGGTTTCTTTATGTGTGGCTTCTTTTTCTCTTCTTCTTTTTTGGAGTCCTGATGTTTTCTGAAGGGTAAAGATACAAGAGACAGAAACCTCACAGTTAGAACCCTTGTGAATTTATTAAATTAATCCCCTCAATCTCTCTAGCATTAATCCCCAGAAATCTCCAGGAAGAGGACCAAAATGTTCTCCAGAGCCTTCACTCTGGCTGCTGTCGGACAACAGTCTTAAGAGCATTATAAGAAACCCCATCTCATGTTTATGTGACATTACCAAGTACCCCCTCGTGCCCTAGAAGAACCTTGGCAGGAAATGGGCAGCCAGGAAAATGGGTTCATGGAGAAGGTTTGTGAGCATGATGGTAGAGGAAATAATGACACCCCACCACCAATGGGTTCCAAAGTGCGGTCTTTCTGCTTCACCCATGAAATGATAGGCAAGAAGCATCAGCAATAGGGGCAGAGGTAGACCAGGGGTCCCCTTGGTTCCAAGCTAAACTAGACACCCACTCTCTCTGCAGCTTTGAACAAGCCATTTATGTCTCTTGTTGTGTATCTGGTATCTCATGGCTTCAAACTGGGCATGGAGTAAGAGGGAAACCTGTCAAGAAGCTTGAGTCTTGATCAAGAAAATTCCACTTCCTTGTTAAAATGGGTGAAATTAATAATACTTGCCAATGTCACAGAATGACTCTCAAAGACTGTTACCATTATTTTGACACACTTTGGTAGTTAAACCATGTTCAAATCAATTAGAACAGAAGAGAAGAAGCAATTTAAAAAAAAAATTTACAGCAAAAACATTCCCATGGATCCAAGGCTTTTTAAAAGCCACACATGCAGAGGTGATGCTTTAGGTGTTCTAAAAAGAAGACACAGGAAGCAACCACTTACGAGCTGTGGAGTGAGCCGACGTCGCTCTGGGAGGATTCCTGTTTGACTGTTGGTGTGACTATGGCCGGATGAGGGATTCCAGTTGTATGTAAACTATGGTGTGGCGGGACCATGTGTGGAGGAAACCTAGAGGAGAGAAAGCTGTGTAAATCGTCAGAATAAAAATGAATGAATGGGGAGGGAGGTGTACACACATTAAAAAAAAAATAGGCATATAACAAGCACATGACAGCTAGACAAAGCATATGAAAGCTGGCAGCATTAATTAGCAATAAATTAAACATAATGACTCTTCTAATGTCATTAAAGCCAATCTTCCCCTTCATTATCATTACTGACATGAGACATCATGATTTTTAACATCTTTAACAAAAGGCAAATTCAACTGGATGAACTTGGATGAAAGTGGGATTTCAGCTACCTGCAAGAAAACCCATCAGTGTATTTCTTTGCTAAGAAATGATCTGTGGCAACCAAGGAATCCATTTTTATAGCTCTGAATCATGTTGTGAGTTTGAGTTGACATCTTTCATTGCATATTGACAGCAAAATAAAATATTAATGCCAACACAATCTAAATGAATTTTTGACAATCCTTATAGATGCCTCATTAGCTACATTTTGTTGATGGAGCAAAAGAAAATATTTATTTGTGTCTAATAAATCTCTGGGCCACATTGCTTTAACAGAAGGTGGGAAGATTGTGGAATTAAGTCAATTTTGACCCATTAAGGTAACTTAGAAAGGCTTAAATTAATGCAAAGTAACAGTCTAGACTTTCTAAAGAGAAAAATTGTTGTCAGCTTTATGGTTAATGGTTATAAACATGGACAGTCCCCAATCCTGCAACTGGATTCAGAGGGATGTACAATCCTTCTGCATGAATCTAATTGCTCAGTTGGGGCCACAGCACAAACATGGCACAATCATTCAGACTTTTTAACTGAAATGAACAAACTTATCAAAAGCAGGATTGGCTTCATATCATTATTTCTCAACAGTCTCAGAAAGGTTTTGCAGCAAATATAGAAAGCACTCTATGACTGTCTGCCATTCCCTTACAAAACCCCCACTGAAGTCAACATGTTTCCAAGGAATGGGATCTAGCCTAAAATTCTGGCTCAGAAATAACTTCCCCCCAAATTCCAAACCTAAAGTGACCTGGCAAAGGACAAGGTTTTTTATCATTGCAAACTCTTACTCTCATCTGAGATTTTGAATCATCTTGGTCCAGATAAAATACCCCAAGAATATGGAACACACAGTGGGATAAAGAATTACTTCTTCTGTCATCAATATACAATATTTTTTTCTATCAAATGGTACTTAAAAAGGGGCAATGTACCCTGGATAGACTGTGTACAAGTACCAGAAATATAATGAGATTTCTTTTTTCTCCCCCTTCTTGTAAATTCCATTACTGAGCTTAACCTCCCCCAAACTGCCTAGACATTCCCCACATTCACAAGATGACACAGTGGTACTTTCATGAACGAGAGGAACTGTCCACTATGAGCTCTGAGGATCTTCGTCTATCAGCTGAGAGTACTCAGGATCATTAGACAGAAGTATTTTGTCTTTGAAGGCAGTGGTGGGAAGAGCAGGGACTGACAGGGAGAATGTGAAAATGTTCAACTGTAGAGAATTGCAGCTCCTCACAAACAAAGGCATGGAGAGAAGGAAAGGAGGGTGTGATGGCAAGGGAAGAGGAGAACAGGCAGCAAAATGGTCATTCCTACTTCTGCTAAAGAGAGACACAAATCTCCCAAGTGGACTGTCAAAATGCCTTCCCCACTCTGACAAGAGCAGCTGAGAGAGAAATGCAAGTTTGAGGAAATGCTTTGGTACATGGTAGGTCAGAACACAAGACAGTGGCAAGTCTACAAGGAGACCAGTATCCTGGTCCCACTTTGGCCACAGAATTGCCTGACCATCAGCAAGACACAAACTGGGCCTTTGTATCATTTTTCTTTGTACTCTCTCTTCATTTTTGCATGTATTTTGACTGGACATCCTTATTCACACAGTTTTGTTCACAGAGTGCCTGGGGCCTTCATCCAGAGTACAATGAAAACAATAAAAACTGACAGTAAAAGCTTTTTTTTAAAAAAAAAAAAATTACAAACATGGGCAAAAATAAAACCCAGAGCAAAATCCCAACTGTACTGAAAGTGGTACAAGCACAGTGACAAAAAGTTGACACTCATGCTATCGAATGCCTGTCTGTCCTAGGCAAGACCCAGTGCTCAAGAGAGGAGGACCGTGCTGCTGGGGCTAGCCAGGATTCAAACTAGAGAGCCAGTGACAGTGGCATGATGAAGCATGAAGATGGAAAGTCTGCCTTCAGAGAGCAGGCAGGAAGAGCTGAGTTTGTTTGACATGAGGACACACTGGGAAGGGCAGTGGGCACATACCAGCAAGGAAGAACTGAGTGCAGTGGTAGCACAAGGACAGAAGGGTGGATCTGAATAAGATCAGATTCATCACTGAAGAAGGGCTCCCCAGTATCACAAAAGACTGATTACAGCTGGAGTTAACGGGGGCGAAAGATGGTGCTTGTCAGGCTTCTGAAGGAGGTCCTGTGATGTGGCCATAACTGAGTCATAGACTTCCTACTCAAATGAGGATCTAAAACACACTGCAAAATTAACTCTGCCTATATGGTAGACTTGTTATACAGCCAGGATGTTCAAAGGAAATAAACTCAACCAAAGATAGGGGGTTATTACATTATCTTATTTTTGAGGAAGAAGTACCTCCAGCTAATAAAAAAAATGAGGAGTGTGAAGAAAATCTGCCAAAAAGAATTACCTTCCACCTCCAAGGTATGGGAAAAATGTATTCCAAATGACCATTTAGGAGAAGGAGCCTAAGTACTTGCACATTGGAGAGCGACAAGATGGGGAAGAAGGGTGGCAGAGGAGGAAAAGCCTATGTACACATGTTGTGAGAAAGCCCAGATGCTGGCAAAGCCTCCATTGACTTCATCTGGGCTGAGGTTTTACCCTCTGAACTTCAGAGAGACAGCAGCCTTCATCAACAGGTAGCTGCAGCTCAGTAGTTATTTTCGGGGTGGCAGTTTCCCCAAGGAAGTTGTGTGTTCATTACCAATGACCACTCATCATTTCACACAGAATCTCTCTCCCTTCAAGATACAAGGCTGCTTATTGGACTTACACACTCCTTCCTATGTTTGGGGCTACAAAACCAAGCTCCAGAACCCAAAGTAGCTCTCACAATCTCATGGACTTCAGTGGGCTGGGTGAGGGTTCAGCCCAGAGTCTGAGCGCCTACTTATTCCCATGCAGACATCCACTCACATGGCAGTACAAGCAGAGGAAGAGTGTTAACTTTTAAGTTCCTGGCCACATTCCAGATTCAGTAATTACATTCAGCAAAAGTGAATTTCCCCTGAAATTTCAATTATGGAAGGTATTTTCCACTGCCACCACTTCACTACTTTGCAGAGTAATTCTGCTAAATTATTTCCTGATTTCACCTCACAGCAGCTGTTTTTTCATAGTGGGTCCACTGTTTGGCCATCAGTCAGTTAACCTTGTCTCAATTTACATTAAGAGCATATTACAGAAGGGTAATGAAGGATCAAGAGATGTTATAAGCATGTTGCATGCATATAAAGTGAGCGGGGAGATGCTACAAGCAGAGTAAAGAGTTGTAAATGGTTAAAACAACCTGAAGACACTACCTTAATAGTCTAATCCATTTATGAAAATCACTATTAGTCACCCATTAACCTTTTATAAACTATTCATAAGCACACTCTAACTAATGAATTGTAATTACCAAGCTTTGGGAATATTCGGTGTTGGGAAGCATTATATGCTCCAAAGGTCTATACCATGATGCAAATATGGGAACTACTTCTAAAGAAAGTATCTGATAAAAAAAAAAGTGGCTGGAGGGGTGAGGCTGGGGTCCGCCCTGGCTTCAGAGCCAACGGTGACAACAAGGCTTGTACCAGGAACCTGTGGGGCTGTTGCAGAGGCCAGCCACGAAAACAGGTCTGCAGGCGAGCGTGGGCGCCCCCGGGCATGCCACCAGTGCCACCTCCCACCTCCCGTGGCTACTGAGGGCGAGGGCTGTCCCAGGGCTGAGCTCAGGCAGCCCAGCTGGCACGGCGGGCGTGCCGAGAGCCACGTCTCGGGGTACGGTCAGGCCTGCCCAGGGGGTGTTCCCAGGGAAGGGAAACCGGGAGGGAAGTTTCTGGGCTGAACCAAAGGATGAACATCTTAAACCTACTCGTCACTCTGCCCGTGTGCCTGAGTGTGTGTGCAGGGGCTCATGTCAGAGACAAAAAGGAAGGCTCTGTGTGTGTATGCACAGCCCCTACCTTCGCCTAAGACATCCCCTGTATTTTTTTCTCTAGACAAGTACTCTGTGAATCGCAATAAACACCCTAAAAATTCTAAGCAGCTCATTATACACCACTGTCTCCTTTTATGGCTCCAAGCCAGAATATAATGATGAGTCTTAACTTGTTAAGGACAACTAATTTTTTGTTCCTGGCTGTCTCAGGGGCTTCTCTCTTACTCACTCTCACTTTACTTCACTGTTGACATGTTTCTGTTAACTGGATGTCATCTGCCTGCCTTGATTTTATGCACAAGCAGTGGGATGCATTTTTCTGTGCAACAATTCTGCTTTGAGTTGCATTAGATTTGTCATTATTCTCTCATTTCCCCCTTGCACTTGTAACATTTCATCTATTCCTGCCTTATTTTTTGAGCCACGGTGCACCCACATTATGGTTTATACATGATCTTGCTCCCTTTGAAGCCGGCAGATTTCAGAGCCAGCCCTCGTCAGGAGAAGTGCCTGCTACCAATTTAGCAGGCTGAGGGCCCCGAGCTCCAACAACTCAATCTAAAGGGGGTCACAGGGTGGCACAAGCGAGTGTCAGCAAGTGCTGTTTAATTGCCAATCTAGGCTTCTCCATGGTGTTTAAAGTATAATGACCCATCACTTAATTCTGAGAAGTCCTGGCCCTGCTGCTGAATGGAATGAATATCAAAGGATGTGCTAGAACAGGGCAAGGAGCCTACATTTCCTATAACTGCCATAAGTATAATAGACCTCTACTTCTGTCGTCCCATTACCACAATAATGTATTTAATTTGCTGTGTACTCTTTTTAACTAGATACCTTTCATAAAGCCTATCTTGGGAATACAGCCTCCCCCCCTCCCACATCTCCCCCCTCCCTCAAATGACTAGCCTCTCTAATAATAATTAAACTAAATCAAGCTCTACTTTGCCTCACACCGTGCCTGCAAGTCTTTTATAGATATTAAAAAAGATTAAATGGAGGGAGGGAATCATTGTTTAAATTTGCAGCTCTCTCCTCAACCCATGATTTTTTTCTCCCCCATGCTGGGTCTATTAATTTTTTTTTTTTTTTAAAGTTGATTTTACAGTTGTCTCTCTATTTGCTGGAGCAAAACTGACAAATTTCAATTTTTTGCTTTCACTCTACTTATCTAAAACACACACCATGCTATTTCCCTACCCATTCACTCACAAGCTCTAGTTACAGGTTTCCATTTCTCACTGAGGTGTGTTTCTCCCTAACAACCCCCAAGCTTTTCCTCCTTAAATCCTCTGTACACCAACCTTCACATATTAAACTGCAGAGATGGAGAGGAAGGGACAGGGCAGGGAAGAGATGTGGAACCTTGCTATGTAATGCATACTAATTTAATTATGTGCCATCATCAAAATGGATTAGCTGTTTCAGCCCATCAGGAAAGTCTAAACCTCCACCGATTTAATTAACCAGACTGAAAATCAGATGAACAGAAAATAAAACTATCATTAGGAGCAATTAGTGATTACTTAAACATAGTGCTGCCAACCAGTTTGTAAATAAAACTAGCAGCCCCTGGAAAATTAGATGGAATTAATTGGAGGTAGGGAGGGGGAGAAATGTATACTTCTAAAGCTTTAGAGGGTGAGGCAGGCCCTTTTATGTTGACTGTCAGTGTTTGGAGCTTTGGTAGGGGAAAGCAGTGCAATAACGTTCCCCCCAACTCTGCCTGAAGAACAGTCCTCCCGAGACCCCACTCTTGCACACAGAGTGCTGCTCCGGGTGACAGCCACCAAGAAGGCAAAAGATACCACAGCTTCTCCTTCTTGTCTTTTTAACATCACTTTCACCCAGATTTTTCCTTTAGTTTGACTTTTGAAGAGGACTTCCTGCTCCTCTCCCTCAAAAACAAATGCTTAAAGCCCAATGACAACACTAGCACACTCTCTTCTCCCCAAATGGGAAGGTACCCCCTGGATTCTCCTCCTCTATCCCACCCAAAAAAGCCAAGGATGACTGTCTAGCTGAAGTGCTTTACAGAAACACTCTTCCCAAGTGAAATGGCCTCCTCTAGAGAGGGTGGCAGGAGGAGTTACATTTGCCCTCAGTTCAGGACCTCAGCATTTGAACTCACCTTGACATGGAAGCATTGACGGTCAGAGCTGTTGGGTAAGGGTGGCGGAAACCCCCTGTTGTGATTGGATACACTGGCTGACCTTGCCTGGAAAAAAAGAAGGGAAAGAAAAAAAAAGGTGCCTTTTTTAAAAAAAAAAAAAAAAAAAAACACCAAAAACAAAAACAACAAAAAACTTCTCTCTGCACAGTAAGCTTTATTCTCATTTGATCAGAACAAAAATCTTGGGGATTGTACAGCAAGGATCAAAGGAAAGAAACACAGAACAATTTGAATGCCATAAATCTGATAGGAATGGCTAATTAAATTTTATAACCTCTGCTTATGTCAATAGAGACCCTCTCCCCAAGCTGAAACTAGGTGTTTTGTTGTAATAATTAAAGGCGAAGTCTCGCTTGCTTTAATGGAGCCATCACACTAATTGAGGGCTACACATCCAAAGGAAAACAATAATGAATGTAAATTTATACCAAAATAAAGTACAGTGAATCAAAGGACTTCAGTTGCGCTTTGGGCCTCTTTCGGTATTTAGATCTCGGTGAGAAAACATTAAATTAACAGAGCTTAATTTGTAGCCTTTTGTCAGATTAACAAGTGTTGACAAGAGTTACCGGGGGAGAGTCCCCAAGAAGTATTGTGGGTAACCAATAGACAATCACACCTCATTACAATAATTAAAAAATACAGCAACATGCAAAACAGCATCCTCATGAAAGACACACAACTTTTTCTGATTGAGGTTTGTCTGTGCTGGCTAGTTCTTTTCATCTGTCCTTCAGATATACCATCTGACTGGGCAGGATGCTTTCTGGGGGGGTGCTGTGCTGCAGACACGCAGGCCAGTTGAGGATAGATGGGTTGGGAAGCTGACGGTGAAGCACGGGTGGCAAAGAGAGGGGAAATAAAGACCTTGTGTTACTTCTGCAAAGTTGGCCATGCTGCTCTCCTAGAGCAAAAGCAAACCTGATGCTACCATCCCCTAAGAGAAACCCTCGGAGCAGCTGTAAGCTGTGGGTATGTACGTACACCACGGGTGCTGACTTGTTTTAAACCAGTGGTGATGACAGAGCCTTCCTGTGACTGACACAGCCATTAGCATCTACCTGATGAAACTGGCCACACATGGCAACATTTGCATGGTTTCACAGCCATCACATGAGGTTCAAGGAGGACAAGCCTGTGTCTGCACATATGAGGCTGAGACACAGATGAGCAATGAGGTACAAGTCAATGACAGTGAGGAATTTTTTCCCTGTGCTCTCATATCTTTAATGTTGCTGACTTTTGGCACTAGTTGAATACATTTCTTTTAAATGGTGAGGCCTTTACTCTGCAAACTTGAGCTAAGCAGTTGCAACAAAGGAGCATGAGATGGGTGTACTGAAGCTAAGCCCAGCAAGCAAGAAAGAAGAAAAGGAGCTGACATGGATTCTGCCAGCATGCAGGATGTCCTGTGTAGAAAGTAAATGACCACAAATGAGGAGGAAATCAAGATTTCAGGGAGCACTGCTTTGAGTTTTTCTTATGCACACATTGTACTCTTCTGGAGAAACAGCCTTTGGCAGAGAGCTAATGGCCATGCTTCACCCTCAGGGTGGGACAGTCTCTACTCAAACAAGCTGCATGAGGACCCTGCAAGGAAGGGTAGCTTGCAGAGTGGCCAGAGGTGTGCTGCTGTGGCTGCAGTCCAAGCTCCAGCTCCTCTGCATCCACACCTCTGCTTGAGAAATGCCCCCAAAACATGCGACACCAATCCAGCTCCCTGCCCAAGACCTGGGTGTGTGTGGGAACCCCCTGCTCTCCTACGGGGTGTGAACTCCACTTCCTTATGGAGGACAAACTGGTGAAGAGGTATTTTAGCACAGCTGGCCAAACAGCCTTGAGCAGGAACAAACTTATTTCTCTTATTTCTAGCTCTGAGCAATTCATTTCTGAAGAAATATGATCTCCTCAAAATTGATGACTCATGTTACCTGAGAAAAATAGGGTAACAGTCTTGGTTTATAATGCAGAGAACCATTGTGACCAGCAACACAAATGTATTTTATAAGTATTTAAATCAAATACACTGTACAAAAGGCCTAGGCAGTGCTTAAATGCATTATAAACCCATTGCAGGAACAGTAACATCAGGAGGAAAAGAAAAAAAAAAATATAAGGACTCAATTACTGGAGAGAACCTCATACCCTACAAGTGGGATACGAGGAGCTGAAAAGAAAACAAAACCCCAAACTAACTTTCCATGGCTCTTTTCTTAGCCAGTTTTAAAGTAAACTAATTCCTCTTTCTTGTTTGCAAGAAAATTCCATTCCTCAGATGCCAGCTGCCCAGCCATGTCTGGACCAGGAATGCTGCTCACTAGCCGATGTAAAGCTCTACTGTTTCCCAAGGAAAATGAAAGGGATTTCAACAGGGACAGCCAATGAAATTTAAAATTGCTCGTTTATAGTGAGGATGGCCCTGGTGAAAAAGAGTCCATTAGAACCACCCTGCACCCCCAGAAAACCAAATCTGAGAGAAACCCACGTGGTGCAGTGTACGGGCATTAACCAAAAAAAGGATGTTTCGGCAGATGAGTTTAAAATTTCATGCTTCAGGGGCCATCAGCTGGTTGAGATGACATGCAAAGCTGCATCCAAATGCTCATGTTTGTTTAAGACCACATGACCTGGGGTAAATTTTAATTAATCTTTATAAGGTGGGTAAATTCATAACCACTCAATGAAGTGGCACTTGGCAAATGGACTTATCTCAGTGCACACACACATGCACACACACAAACAATTTTTAACACAAATGTTACATATCAAAAAAGAAAAAAGGAAATTAAAAAAATGGAACTCCTTACTGTGGTACTAACCATCCTAGCGGATGGGGGATTTGTCCTACAGTGCCCGGTGATAATGGATAATAAGGAGATATATCTGGAGGATGTGGAGGCCTTGGAATTCCTATGGAAGAGGAACAGAAAGTAGTGTTAATATTGAGACATGGAAATTAAATTCTTATCTACTCATCTTTATTACAATACTTTGGGTTTCCAAAGGCTGTTTCACAGTCTGATTTTATAAAGTAAGACTCTTGGCATCTTTTTTAATGAGACTCAACCAGAAAAACAGATGTGATTTGCTCCCTCAGCCACCTCTCCAAAGAAGAGATAATGATTTTTTTATTTAGGATGAGAATTTAGGAGTCCCAGATATAGTTCTGGTGTGATGATGTGCTTGGTGCTGTCTTAAACACTCAACAGAAAGACCGTCCCTTACAAACTTCACGGTTGTTTTAGTCTCAAAGTCACCAAAAGAGAACAGGCCCTAGCCATACATTGACCAAGTATTCAATAGCATAGCGTTATTCCAAAGTAACCACCAAATCAGAAGAAGTCATTATAGAAAGTCATTATAATTGCAAATGGTGTTTGCTTTTAAGCAAACCTAGGAGACCTTTCCTGGAATCTGGGGGTGAAGCCGAGAGCCCCTGGAAATGGTTGGTAAAACCAGGTGCAGATGTTGAAGGTGTGCAGGGGAGGACAAAGAGCCCATCCCTTCTCTCTGAAATCAATACAGTTCCTACCTAGAGAGCAGAGATGAGCTCCAGGCACAAGCTTTAACTCTCTTTACCTTAAGACCAGGTAGGAATTACTCAGGAGTAAGGGTTACAATACCAGGTTTTTCAATTAACAAGCCAGAGCACAATTACACAGCAGATGCAAAATTAAAACAGAGAGCATTAAAAGGAAAGGGTACTGTATTCATGGCTAAAAACTATTTTTTCTAGTCACTCGGGAAGCTTTTAATCTCTAAATTACATCTCTTCGTGTGACATTTTCATGCAGACATTGCTTTTGCTCCATTACAAAACCCAAACAGATTAACTGGGCTTTAACCATCCGGTGAGCTATTTGCACACTTGAAAGAATGTTCACAGAAGAAAAGTAAACAGTCTACAGACGTTAATCATATGTTTTACGATACCCATTTAAAAGCTATTCCCTGTACTACCATTATTTAAATGAGAGGCTGACTATGCCGTTCAGTTGCGATGCCCAGGGATGGCGAGATGGATTCCTTTCAAGCCATGTGAAGTTAGCAGTAGGCACAATTAAAAGGGGGCCTCAACTGAAGTGTAGGGAGTGAAAAACAGCTAATGCACAGCCTCATTCAAGGGCTGGAGTTGAGATAAATTATCTGCATATGTTAGGGCCAACACAGCACGACTCATTGACATGAATTCAGTTTCTGATGTACTTTCCAATTAACTAGCTGGGTTTTGGATTAACAAAACCTAAACCACTGTCACTAGGCACTCAATGCAGCCTGAGGAAAGACGACTGACACTCTTTGACTTCTCTGGGCCCTCAGGTTAAACAGGGACTCTTAAAAAGTTAGAATAACGTGTAAATTCTACTCTGTAACACCAATAAATCTAGTCAGGGTTTTACGCGGTGCTCTATATTCAAGAAGACTGCCCTTCAAGCTGAACTGAGAGTTGGGTAGACTTACATTGGGGAAAAGAGTTGTAAGTGTAGAGCTGGAGCTAAGTACTTAGACTGGATGAAAATTCAACATTATAGGAGAAAAATGGCTGAACTCCTGACACAGAAACAATGATATTTGGGGAATTAAGAGAGATACATTTTGAAACCGGTCATGACCCACCACCTTTAAAATTCCAGCTGCAATTCTTTAAGTGCAGATCACAGAACGTACATGTTTAATTCTCTGGGTCGTGCATGCAAACCAAGCACTTGGTAGATCAAACTGCTAGGTGGGGTATCGTGCTTGCAAAGAAACACACCTGCAAATGACCCCACACATGCAACTCTGGTGTCATCCTCCAGAAGCTTTATAAAAATTCACCCAGTAGGTTTCCCTCTGAAGCCTAATTTGCTTGAAAAGAAGCTATTTTGTCTGGGTTCTTGCATGTGTTTGACATTTTACATGCTCCCTTTGGTGGTCCAGCATGGGAAATCCTCCCTCCCCACGCCCCGCGCTCCTTCCCCCTAATACACAAAATGGAAAGATGCAGCCATGCACTCTCAGAAAAGCCCAAATTATTTCCCACCTACCTGTTTTGGGATCTACGTCGGCTGGTAAGTGTGGAGGAGGGTTTCCTGGTGTGAAGTGCTCATTGCTGTACGTGATAAGCGGCGTAAGAGGGTGTACATGGTGTGGGTGCTGCACAACTGGCACTTTGTTAGACTGTCAAGAGAAAGAGGTGGATGGCGTTAGAGGAGTGTGGGGTACTCCCCACTGCAGCACGAGGCAAATGACATACAGGAATTTGAGTACTCAGGATTTCAACACAGTCCTCAGACTTTTCCAGATCCCTTCTCGTTGTCACCCTCTCAGTTTTCCCACACTCCTGCTTAAAACCTCCTCCCACACTCTCCCTCTTGAGTTTCTTTAATCTTTTTGACCTGTGGTGCTCCTGCACAGAGCAACAGCAATTCTTTAAAATTTTTCCTTTTTATTTTATAATCTTGTGCTTCACCTCCAAATCACAGGTAGACTCCTCAGTGAGGGGCTGACAGAGTCCCCCATTTAATTAGCATGAGACCCAAATGCTCACTGACCTGTAGGTCTTTTCCTTTCCCCTTCCTGTCCTCACTTTCAGTTCTGCATCTTACTGCTCACTGCAGATATTCCAGATAAAAAGCCTTTGTACTGCTAAAGTATTCCCTTCATCAGCAAGCATTAATCTGACAAGTGATCACCTGCATATTTTATATATATATATTTTTTAGAAGAGCTGATTAATTATCAATTCATTAGAGAGCTCTCATAAATGGGAGCTGGATACTGATGAATTAGCCTACTAAAATATTCAGCTATATAAATAATGTCAAAAACACAGATAAAGCCGTTGAAATTAACACTCTTGTGGGGGGAATAATCACACAGATATCATGAGGTTTTCCCTGACAGATTCCTAGCTCTGGGGGAAGAAAAAAAAAATCTTTTTCTAATAACAATAAAAAAAAAAAAAGGAGTGAATGAATGAAAGGAAAAGGCAGGCTGAACTGCAACTTACCCTTACAAGATCACAAAGAAAAAATTAAGCTGAAACAAGCGAACTGCTGGACCATTTACTGCGAGTAATCCAATTGCAAAAAACCCTATTCCCCACAGAGGATTTTCACTAAAATCCTACAACAGGGACATTTAACCAGATTAGGTACCAGCAAAGATAAAGAGGCTGGTATTAGATGATGAATGGATTAGAGTCAGGTTTCATTTCAGAATGTGTCTTCATTTCCTTTTATTACTTTAAGTAAGGAACAACTTGCATTAACATCAAGTAAAAGGAATCACATTAAAATAAAGTAGTGATACCATGGCGGCCACCGATAGCGCCGCTGCCGTCGAGGGTCTGCCAGCGCTCCCCTGCTCGTCCTCCTGCCCAAGGACAGCGCCAGCCCCACCGCTCGCTCCCCAGCACCCCTCAGCACAGAGGCCCTCACCACGCCGCTTTAGACAAGTTATTATCTCATCTCAGTTTGAACGCTTCGAGCTTCCCTTAAAAGCATTTCAAACATAATTCAGTTATTCTTTGAAAATGACTTTCTAGACTAGGGGGAAGGAAGAGAGAAAGCAGACTGACAGCTAGGACAAAAAGAAATGTCAGTCTTCCCCTGAAAAACATGAAATCCCTCCATCATGTTTGGGTCAAGACACAGCAGAGCTTCACCATCAGCTCTTCCAGGCTGCCCCAGCCCCTGCCACACAAGGGTATTTGACTCTCCCCTTTGACAGCATGAAAAAACCCCGCACATCCAAGAGAAGTAAGCCAAAGAGCAGTGCCTGTGCTTCCCACTTTTACTCCGTTTATCTTATTTTGCAGCCCTTACACAGAACAATTCCCCTCTGAAACCACCCATGTCGCAGAGGACACAGAGGAGTCCCACATCACATGGCTGCTGTGCAGGACAGACAGTGGTGGCCACAGCCAACACTATGAACTACGAGCATGTTGTGTTGGCTGGGCTGTAGGTCAAGTCTTCTGTCAGCTGTACAACCAAGGACAACTCTTGGCTGTACAGATCTGTAATGGCTTCACATCAGAGGAGCTACGGGGATTTAGCCCCATAATTCAAAACTCCAAAGGATATGCTCTAACCCAAAATCCATTCTCTTCCAAGTTAATCAACCTAATCAGTCTGAAAGCAACTGAAAGTTTTGGAAAGGGCTTCATGTAACAAATCATATTACACACCACACAAACTAGCAGGCATCTACTCAACAACACAGGACATACATGCCAAATGACCACTTGATCATTCCCAGTAAGAGGGATTTTTGCTAGCCAAGAATTACATGAACTCTTGCTGTTAGGTGACCCACAGTGTGGCTGGTAGCTCCTGTAGCTCTGTGCTCTCTCAACTCTACCTTCACAGCATTGCAGAAAACCCTCACCCAGAACCTGACAGATGCTGAGGGCTCTCTTCCATGGAGAGCTTATTTTCATTGAAACTGGAACTGGTTAGTGAAAAAAAATAAGTGACAGAATAACATTACAGGGTCAGACTTAAGCCAACAGACAAGAAACAGCACGTGAGAGGAAAGCTGGACTTACACGCCCGTATCACCAAAGCCAGACAAACCATAGAGGGTTACATGCAAACTGTACGAAACTCCCACCCAGTGCTTTGATATACCAAGACCCCCCCACAATATCTCCATGGAACAACAGGAATGCTAAATTATTATGTATTTGACTTAACACCTCTCAGAGAAAAATAAAAAGCAAAAGAAAAAAAAATATATTTTTTTTTTAAATCAACAACCAAAAGTTTGACCCTTAGTCTGCGAATTTTCGCTTAGGTAAGTAATTTTCATTTGGGTGACTGCCCTGCAGGCAGACAATTCACATAAAGGTACTGGGCGTTAAGGACAGGATACTTTTTTGCCACTCTGATGATGCTGGGGTAGAGATGTACTGGGGGAAGAGGGGAAAATATCACCTATATGCTCAAAAATATGCTCTCCAGGACAGAGGAGAGTGACCAGCTACCCCTGCAGATCAGTCTGCATCAGCATCTCTAGGCCAGGGCAGGTTTGTGTTCTGCTTTGCACCATTTATCACACAATGGGAAGAGGGTCTGTAACTCCGCTCAGAAAAGCATCCACAATTTGCAAACCATTCTAATGATGCAGAATATGCTAAATAAACTGCACTTAAAAAAAAAAAAAAAAAAAAAAAGGCAGCATCATTCTTGAAGTTAACTAAGCATCCTCAGAAAAGAGAAAAAGAAAGGACTGGCTGGGAAAGAACAGGATTAATCCTGTACATGCATCTTCCTTTGAAGTCAATGGGAGCTCTGCCTGAGTAACAAGTGTGGTCCTAACCCCATCCACTGGCAATGAAAGGTAAACCACAGTAGCCATCAATAGGGGACACCTATTAGCTGACCTCAGCCATCCCCCTGCAAAAGGCCCTTCTCCAATACACATTTGCCAGCACTTCATCAAGGGCAAGTTTTAAGCCAAAAGCCATTGTGAGATGCAGGAATTTCTCTGGCAACTTGAAGAACTCCATTTACGGCTACGTCAGGCACAGAAAGAGGAGCTGCACTGGTACACAGGGATTAGCACCAGGGCATGTGGCAATAGGACGGGAGCAAGTGGAGATTTCTAGAGAGAAATCCCAGCATCTACAAAGTACCAAGTCATCTGCTGATAAATCTCTCCACTGAAAGCTGGGGTCTCCTATGCTTGGGTTAGAGGGCACGGTAAAGAATTGCAAAAAAACAACAGAAGTTTGCTTTTCTTGATAACCCCTGCCTGGAGCAAAACAGAGGAAATTGTCCCCACAGGGACTCAACTACTAAATCTCTCTATATGAATTTGAAATGCTTCTGGGAGCGTTTAAACACAGATTACTTTAAACAATAATGGAGCTCTGGAATGAAAAAACAAACAAACAAACAAACAAACAAACAAAAAAAAAACCACAACCAAAAAAAAAACAAACCCCCCCTACAACAAATTTGGGACTGATATACGTTTGAGAAGGATACTGAGATCCATTAAGCCTAAGTTCCCATAGGTGCCTTTAGGGAACAAAAAAATATCTGAACTTCAAATTTAAGCTGCAGGGGATTGTGTGTATAAATTGCTGTGTATTAGTCTTTGTTGCATGGTAAGGACATTTCATTAACAGGATGAAAGATGCTTCTATGCGCATACAGCCCAATTTAATACACCCCACTGATGAATACTCCCCATTTATTGAAGAAGTTAATACATGCTGTATAAATCAATAGTTCCTAAGTCTCTGAAAGCAACATAAGACTTGCACGAGATGAAACATTGTATTGTTGAGCACACAAAGAGAAACCAACCTTTAAATAGGAAGAGTTTGTTGCTGCAGTTTCTGTTTGCAAACTCATGTTTGGCTTTGGCAATAAAAACATAGTATCAACTCAAAAGTCAGAGGAAAGCAGCCAGAGAGGCCTCAGGATTTGTCCTCGTTGGGGTAACGCGGTGTTAGTAAAAGCAGGTCTGCAAAAGAAGCCATCCAGGCTGAAAACAAGCCATTGTGCCACCGCATCG